GAACTATTCATTAATATCTCATTAAGTTAGATTTATATACTCAACAAATCTGAAATAGTCAATCTAATTTACTATTTAAACGTTGATATTTTATATTTTTTTTTACACAAATATTTGGGGTTAAAAAGGAAACCAAGAGCTATGTTGGGAAAAACTTTGATGCCAGACCCTAAGAAAGTGTTACTCTTCACGAAGAAATAATAAATGTATGAGGTGGCAGATATCCCAGTTACCCAGATTTGATCATTTCACATTGTATCCTTGTATCAAATATCACATGTACTCCATAAATTAATAAATAAGTTTAATTAAATTAATAAAAAATTTAAAAATTAGAAGTTTCATTCTCTTTGAGAGAATTATGTATTTAATGTTGTGCACTGAAAATGAGTTCCCAAAGTGAAGGCTGCTAAAGACATATGTCTATAATCTCAAAATAATAGGTGAAAACCTGAAGATATAAAGGGTTATGTTCGAAGATAGAGTTAAACATATGGTGTCTGCTTTGAAATTCTGTTTCTATATTTGGGCATGATCTTTTTCATAGATATGCAAGCATAGTCTCTTTTTCTTTTACTGTCTGTTTACACATGTCATAGTTGCAACTTCCTAGTGAAGAAAAATTTTTCCAGTTTTAAAAATTTGCAAGTATGAAAATAAAATTGTCACAGTGTGAAACTGGATTTTCAATGTAAAGCTGTTAAAACAAGAAAAAAAATACAGTTTAAGGCAGATATTTCAAAATTCTACTATTTTCCTTGAACCAAATTTCACCTTTTTTCCCTCCATTGTTGCTTAAATAATTTTTAAATGCATTCGGATAAAACTTGCAAAAGTGAAATGTTATACCCACACATCAAAAAGGCATTCCTTCAATAGGACAATGTTTGTGTTCTGCGTTAGAAAGAACAAAACTCCTTTAAGGGAGAACTCTCCCTACTTAAACAATAAAGGCAAGAAAATGTTACATGCCCTTAGGGTTTTCCTTTCACTATCTTTACCGAAGGAAGACATACAAAGAGAAATTATCTAAACTTCCTTCTAGAAGGCAGTGACCATAGTGAAGATTTTTTTTTTTTTTTTTTTTTTTAAATAGTATTCAGGTCAGATCCTAGTGCAGGTGGGTGTTTTCCAAACAGAATCTGCCTGGTGGAATGAGAAGCACTGTGGAAGTCAGATTCTCCTGCTTTCCATCTGTGGATGTCTGTCATTTGGGGACAATGACCAGCACTGTATTTTCTTAACCCAATATGGACAGAGTATGTGTTTGGATTGTATTGTGTGACATCCCTTTCTCTATCGAACAGGCCCAAGAGGGGAGGGGGTGGGGTCTGACTTTTTAAGGATGGTTCTAATGCGTTCAGCTGTTATCACACTTTGCTGATTGTAATCACTCGTTTTATGGTTTCTTTTCCAGCTGCTCCAAAAATTCATTGCAATGTCCTCTAGGTTTATTTTTAATATCCCATAATTCAAAGATCTAAGAAAGAAGAGTTGAAATAGAAATCCATGTGCTGATTCTCTCCCATTTTTTTTTTTTTTTTTTTCTCTCGGGGAGGAAGGGATTTAGGATTTGGACACATTCCTCAAAATCCTCTCTGGAGAAATGTGTTCTTTTCTGTAGGGAAGGAGCCAGCTTGGAGCACATTCACAGGCTTATTCAATTGATAGAGGAATTGGGAACCAATCCTATGTAAATATACAACATATTTTAAATTCAAAAAATTAATTCTTTCTTCGGAGCATTTATGTTTAAAATGTTTCCTTTTGGAGTGGTAGCAAAACAGTAGTACTCTATTGGCATTTTAGGATTTCCAGATTCCCTGAATAAAGTATTTGCTCTAAACTCTGTTGTCCTAAATTTATCTAGTAAGAATGTATTGCTCTTTAAACTGCAGAACAGTTTCATGCATGGGAAAACTAAAAGGCAAGGGGATCCCCCTATGTGCTGTCTCTGAAAATATCTTGACTTACGTTTTAAAATCAACTTATTTCAGGGGAAGTAGACCTTATCAGTTTTCTTTGTTTTCCCCATTCATTTAGTTCTCTGAAGAGCTAGATCTGAGAAATGATTCAGCTAGAATTATAGGTTGCCATTTCTTCATTTTCCACTACATAGCAGCGGCTCCTTTCAGTCATTTTTAAGTCCTATAAAAGCCCATATGGGGAAGAGGGGGAGGGGACTGCCTGTAAATCATAAGGACCCAGTTTCTTGATTTCAGTGAAGGGTAGTTTTACTGTCCGCTGTCACCACAGCTGTCAGCAGGATGCCTTAAACATCCTAATTGTCACTAGGGATCAGATTGT